TGTGTAACATGGTATTCCAAGTCTTTCTGCTTCATCTTCACTCTTGACCCAAGTTTCTGTTAAAATGATTATATGTATGGTTTGTTGGAATGAACTTAATATACATTTCAGTTCGCCTAATTTGCCAGGCTTAACAATACTACGTACATTAGCATAAAAACACTTAAGGGACTTCTTTGTTTGTATTATATCCGAATATGTGTTGGTCAGTTGGTAGGTAATTCCCTTAGTTAAAGAAATTTTGACTGCGTTGGAATGTTCTGTGTATCCGTCACAGGAGGTATATATATATTCCCAAATCTGTCAAAAAGAAACTTGTTGTAGGTAGTACGAGCACATGACACTTTTTAGATCTGCCGTGCACTGACTAAAATGCGGCTAAATGACGAAATAGTTTTTAGAGATGTCATAAAAACCATAACCCAGTTTTAGAATATTAAAGATAAAGATAAAGATCGATTTATTTGTGGAAGTAGGTACAATAAGTTCATCAGATCAGTTCCATACATTAACAGTGCTACTACAACCAGTTTCATCGAAACATACAAATATAATTATAATTTATTTATTATTGAAATTGTTTAATCATATTTCAACAATGCATCGGTAGGGCACCTAAGTTTCAATAAGTCGAACACGGTAACTAATTTGAACTGTTTTTAAAAGAGAATTTTATGCTCTATCTTTAGCTATTTAAAACGTATATTTGACCATTTCTCATTTAGCGCGTTTTAGTTAGTTAGTGCTGTCATTTATAAAAAATATTTCGTAATTAATGTTTTATTTTGGTATTCCATAGAGTTATCACCAGTTAGTAATAGTCTATTTCAATATTTTTACTTTTGTACGAGGGTAATCTTATGAATTATCAGAAGACATGGAATAAACTTGTTGTTCATGATGTTTGTAATATGGACCTGTGAGGTAGTTCGTATGATACAAATAACCCTGTGTAGATAAAGATATAAATAATGTGGACAAAACAGAACGAAATGGGGGTAACCTATCACAAAGTCGAATTTGTTTTCCGAAATAACGTTTGTTCGAATATTCATCACACCGAAAACCGAATTACATAAAATAAATTATATGATGTTGGATGTTTATCGTAAAGACACGATTAGGTTCGGTTAAGTTAGGTTTAAAAGAAAAAACATTTTCCTCTCAAAATTACTTTCGTGGTTATGAAAATTCGAGCACACGTTATTTCTGGAAAATGTCATTTCGGACTAGTGATAGGTAACCGAAATGGGTCAAGTGGAAACATACAAAGCAAATAACGATACAATTTGCATTAAACATTCTTTATTTATCTTTGATGAACTGCAAGGCAAAACTTATCACAGTTTTTAAAAAACCTTTAATCCAAAATCACAAATATTGGACTGAATGTAAGTCGAGCCGTAATAGTAGGACTCAGACATGGCTATTTCATTTGATATAGCCGGAAAGTTGGCGAGAACAGACACAAAACTCTGGACCTCTTGGACATCTGTAAAAAAAAAATATTCAGTTACGAAGCTAATTCTAGTCAAACCCGTTTTTTTAACCATGATTCCGTTGGAAGGAAATTATTTATATGAAACTATTTTTTGGGATCTACATCAATATATATTTATAATTGATATTAAGATTGAACTACCGAAAAGACTGAAAAAGACTCGAACCAGAGACATGTTCGCCTTAGGCGGGCTGTCGTTCTCCGAAGTGAACTACGAACACCCTATGAATTTCTCAGTGTACGCTCTGTACGCTCTGTATGTTTTTGGTTTTAACGTTTTTTTTTGGCGTAGCGCCACCGGTCAGAAAACTGTGAAAGTTTTTTCTTCCTTTTACAGCTACCGGCCGCTGACAACAGATGTCGTTTTAATAATTTATTGTATTAAATCTAACTACATGCTTTAGATCGTAGCAAGTATGACATCAGTTCTGTGTGAAAAATATACTCTTTCGCTAGAGTGACGTTAGTCAAATGTGGCATTGCTTTGTTATAATGTTAAATCGTACACGTACTTTTATAATAAGCCACATACTTTCAGAATCTTTCGTAGTCACTGTATAGGTAGTTGTAAACGTGCCTGACTGAGTGAAGAAAAACTTTCACAGATTTCCCACAGATGGCGCCACGACAAAAAGTTTAAAAACCAAACAACAAGATCTCCAACAAGCACAACGAAAAATTCGTAAGGTCTGGTGGTTCGTTCCAATTGTGAGTTGAGCACGGATTGCTGAATGAAAGGCGCTGGTTCGAATCCGGCCAAATCGAAAGAATTTTTCTTAGTGTTCGATCTTTGTATTAATTATTAGATTTTTATAGGCGGGCTGTCGTTCTCCGAAGTGAACTACGAACACCCTATGAATTGTAGTCCTATTGTAGTTCTCTAGGTCTTAGAAATTTAATATTGAATGATATAGAGTCCCGAAGTATTCCATACAAATGCAAAACTTAGATATAAGGTCTATTTTCCTGTGTAACAAAACGATAGTGCATTATATCTCGGTCTGAATGGCATCTAACGGCAACACGAAGTTACTAAAATTATAATAATTGTTGATTTGTGATGTTACAATCTATCTGCCCTCCTTGTCACAACTTACGCATTTTGATAACTTTCGAGACAATAATATAATAACGCGCTCACACTCGTGCTATAGAAGTCCTGTATTTGCGGGTGCCATGGACCCGCAAATACAGGCCAAACAAATATTTCTACCGGCGCGGGAATCCAGCCCGGGACCTCTGCGTGGCAGTCCAGCACGGTAACCGTTCGGTCACTGAGGCAGTGAAAGATATTGACATCTAAAGTCTTTTTCTTTTAAAAATGTCAATTACGCAGATTTTTCCAGAGAACAAAAAAGTAACGAGAACGGACACTCCCCGCCCCTCCCTAGCTTTAGATACCGCACCACGCCCCGGACATCAACGGTCACATTGATTTAACGACAACAAGGCTGTCGGCGAGCCATTTTCGCGCGTCTTAGCATCTTAGCTTTGATATTGAAATATAGATTTCAGTTATTGTTTTCTTCGTTTATTTAGTGCAGATTTATAATATCAATATAATAAGACGCCATAACTTCGTGAGTTAGTAGAAAAGGGTTCTGGAATTTTCAATTTGCATTGTCGATAAATATTGTATTATGATAAACTTGGACACGTAATTTCGAATATTTTGGTTACTTATTTAAAGGCACCTGTCCAAAATATAACATTTTAAGTGCTTTTAATATTATATATTATAATATTTTTTCATATAAATCTTCAATATTATTTTAGTTTGTGAATTAATGAAAAATGTAATATTATATCGATATCAATACCTAATGAACAATTATTAGGATTCTATTAATAGGATTAAAAATAACAAATTCGCGTTAGAGTTATCGCTGTGTCGCCCTTCTGACTATGCACGAGAAAGTGATGGGTAACCCTGCCACTTCACGCACACATTTGCGCGTGTGCAGTAGTGCTGTTTGTACTAGTAGTAGGTAAATAACTTTTGACCGTTGTGTGGAGTGCCCGAGGTGTGATTTTGCTTAACAATAAAACTGAAACTAAATAATATATAATAAAATCACTTATAGGAGGTTATAAGATTCGTTTCGCTGTTTTCAGACATGTTAATAACTCAATTTCGCTAAAAATTATTTATTTATAATAAGGCGGGCAAATATATTTTCTAAGTCTTACAACCTGAAATAGACTTTGAAAAAATACCTGGCGGTATGAATACCGTTGGTGAGGTGAGGAACGCAGCTGCGTCGATAAATGCCGTCATCTCCGCTTTGTCCAGTTGCAGGTCGTCAGCATTTGGGATTATTATAGTAATCGTGAAAACTGTAAATACAAAAAAAGGTTTATTTATTTATACAGCCTAATCTTACAATAAATCGCAACCTTGATATAATAAAGCCATAATCGCACCTCCGCTAAAACACAGACTTCAGAATCCACATTACCTAGGATCGAATTAAATTTTTTCCCGTGCTAATACGGTTCATTTTGCTACACACTGGCTTTATAAAAAAATCACTGGAACCTATATTGTAAAGTACCGATTGAACACAGCGGTTTTCTTATAAAATTTTTTGGCAATTTTTTTTCAATTGTGTTTTTTTTAGGAATCGTGTTTTCACACCGTATAGTAATCAGTGAATATCCTCAATTTTACTCCATATTTTTTCCAAAGTGATTAAATCAACACTTTCGCTGTTATACGGAATCAACCAAAGCCTAAATGGCCGCAAAAAATTGTGGTCGCAAACCATTTTTAAAATGCAATTTATACGAAGAAACAGAGACGCTTTATGCATTACTTCCTTTTTTTAGTAAAGTATAGAGCTCTTCAAATGTGCTCAGTAGCCCTTTAGTACTAAACTTTTTATTCATTCTCTGTAAATTTTACAGATGTACGCATTGACTTACAATTATATGGACGTCGGGTCCGCGCTAAAAACGCTTCACGCTTTAGTCTTCGTTTGTTCGACTGACAGCGAAGCAAACAAAATTAGACAGTACTGCGATGACATTACAATTTCAATTCAACGTTTTAGCTTTTTCATATTCCTTTACATGTCACTACGTTTAAATAGGTTGACTTGGGACATTTTTTTCGTGGTTTTTGTATTAGACCAGTCGTCCATTTATTTGTAAGTCAATGGATGTACGTTAAGCTAAGTTTCACAGGAGGTGCGTGTGTTTTAAAGATTTTAGAAAGAAAAATTAGCCCATAACTTTCATGCTTAAATAGAAGACGAAAGCCTATACTAAATAAAGGAGTTACACAATTACAATAGTTCATATATATTTTTATAATCACATATGGCTTTGTTACACCAAGGATACAAAATATACGTCAAACATCTGTAAGAAATTATTTATCGCCTACGTCTAGTAGGTCAATGCCTAGGTCCATATCGACTATAGGGCACATAATATAGTATGTATTTTTTGAAGAGGGAGTAAAATGACATTTATATGTCTGTCTGTCCTCAATATTTTAAAACACGCGGTGAAGTCATTCAAAGGCAAACTAGAGCAAAAATTATGAATCTCTTATACCAACCTCGTTGCCATAAAGTAATTTATAAGAATAACTGCTTCAACATGTGTATAATTATTTGCAATAAATTACCAAACGAAATTAAATTGTTACAAGGACATACTTTTAAATTAAAATTGACAAAATGGCTTTTGACACATTGCTTCTATAGTAATAAAGAATACTTAGAATTTACAAATTCATTACATTAATTAGAAACTATAGAGACTAAAGAAACATTGAATCCCATTAATATTTGCACATCTGCTTGCAGGTTGAATACAATGTGCCTAATTTTACTTAAGACCTTTGTAATTACTGTATTCTGGCAAATAAACATATTCTATTCTATTCTATTCTGATGTGTTTGCCAGTTCTCTTAAAATTTTAAGTAGTCATTTAATTATCGAGTTCTTAGGTTTTCGCGATTGTTACACGTAAGAAATGAAAGTATTTTTCGAGGGGCGCTGCGTTTTTTAACGTTGTACTGAAGTACCTTAGTTTGCATGGAAAACACGCGCCGTCGAACACACTGACAACGCTTCTCCGCGCGGTTTTACCGCGTCCCCGCGCGGAGGGGCGCGGCGTACCGCAGGGCATGTTCAGTTTTCTACAATAGATCTCGACGTCGATAAATTTATATTTGCTATTGAAAATCGGCCGAATTGATCTTCATATTTTCTTAAATTTTTGTAATGAAGTTGGAATTATCCATTTATCGATCTGGTTCGTAAATGCGATGTAGCCAATATCTTCGGTATCTTTTTATTTGAGTAAACAAAAACCATATAGACAGTATAACTGCAGCGTCCTGAATGAGTTCTGTATTATTAACCATTCTTGTCAAAGAAGGATCTCGGCTGCATACACAATCACTACGGCTATCAACTGCGAAGCGAGTACATTAAGTGACGCGGGCCCGCTAGACCGCTGCCCCCGCGCAGATTAAACCGCACGTTGACGCAGATCTGCGTCTCCGCTACGCCTTAAATCGCGTATATTTGTTATTTCAAACAAACCAACGTTCAACGGTGACCATTGGACCTGTAAAGGGCCCGAAACGTAAAAAATAAACGCGATTTAAATCCGGAAAAATGGTTTCATTTCCTAGTCATGTAGTTGTTATCGACAGTTTTATCGATAGATTGTAAAAATGTCAAAAAGGTCTAAGGGTCGTATTCCAGAACTCTATTCAATGCTCAAGTCCTGACTTGAGCAGACTTGAGTATGATTTCAAGCACTGGAAATACGATCCTAATGGCAAGGACTTGAGTATGATTTTCAGTGCTCACTGCAATACTCAAGTCCTGACTTGAGTATTGAGTAGAGTTCTGGAATACGACCCTAAATTTTGAATGTTACAACGTTCTATCGATTACAAATTGTGTTACTGCCTTATTTTTATTTTTACAACTGTCCTACTAGATCAAAATATTTTTTATTCACACACATTTTAACAACAACGTGCGTATTTGATTATCTATATTGAATTATAATGAAAATCTTGAAGATATAACTCCTGTTTGTGTATTTAACAGACGTAGTTCTAAATGCAGGGAATGTATGTATGAAGTTACAAAAATTGACAATTCAAATGAACCTATGCCCAGCATGCAATAATAATTCAAATAAAACAAAATTGACTATTAATTGCATGCGTAACCAACATTCAGTCGATACTCGTAAACATTAAATACTTACATATTTCAACGTAAGCACGTGTCACGAAGGTCACAATAGGCTCTCTGCCTCGACGGTAGAATTTAGCGTACGTGCTTGGAATGTCAAGCAATATGTTTCTAAAATTAAGGGCTATTATCAATTTATTTGTCTTCTTGTTTATGCTGAAATTTAAAAAGTAAATATTAATAAGATGCATGATGCACATATTTCAAGTATATCTGGCGATCCCTGGGCAATACTCAACGAGTACCTTACACCTAAAATTCTTTCGCCACGATGGCAAACATATCCTGTTTACAGTTAAGTAGTTCTGGGCCGCGATCCTAGAGTGTATCCCATCGATACGGTAACAACAAGAAGATAAGGTGCCTATATACCTGTAAACCTGATGCCAAGAAATTGCCCACTCTCGGCAACAACGAGCGAGTACCTTACACTGATTGGCAAATAATTTCACCACGATGGCAAACATATCCCATACATTGTTCAGGAATTCTGGGCCGCGATAATATAGTATATGCCATCGATACGCCAAAAAGAAGATAAGTGGAAGACTGCAATTAACTTACTAAAATTCTTCAACTCTTGTTTGGTTGAAACCAGTTATTTTGATTTCAGTTAATATCTGAGAAGCATTCGCTCTAGGAATATAGTAATTCGTTTGAGTTCGGTAATCAGGATCAGGGAGAGGTCCATTACGGATGGTGCACTTAGCGTGGTTGGCGAAGTACTTGCGGATGCAATAGATGTCGTAAATCTCACAAGGTCGCTCTATAATGGCATGGTCGTCTGAAAAAACAAACAAACACAAATAACACCATGGTCTCAACACGCGCAGGAGTACACTTAATGAAATTTAAATTTAGTCCATCTGCGTTAACAACAAATAATCGATTTTAATGATTGATAATTAACCCTCAACACAACAGGAGTAAAGCTGTTGTGTCGGGGGTTAACGGAACAAAACCGGAATGCAATAATGCTCACATTACTGTTAGCTTCCGAGATAGATAAGGTGGCATGACTTTCATTGACGAACTCTTTTTTACGGAGCTCTCCAAAATACAAGTCATAGTTATAGTCGATATATTATAATATCGATTCTCGATTTCACTAATCATAATATGATCATCTCCCATGCCTCGATCATAAAGTTTGACATCACCATTACCAATAACCCATTCGAACCCACGGCCACTGCTTGAAATACAGAGACTTATTGGCGACGATAAGCTCGAATCAAAACTTTTTTTTTTTTTTTTTATTGTGACTCGGCAAAATGACTGCACCGCGCCTGATGGAAAGTGCGAATACAGTCCAGAGATGAGAGTAACGGATGGAAAACACAAATATCTTCACTCCGTCACTATCATTTTGCCGGTCTGGCCAAATGCTTCTTCACACTACGTTTGAAGGAAGGAAAACTTCATAGTTTAGTCCGCCGGCGCAAAGTTATCTGTCGGTTTTCTACAGAACATATTGGTGAGTGTGCCCATGAGCTCCACCAGCTCGTCCCGCCCGCCCGCTATTACCATCGGACATCCAGACACGTAAGGCGGGATATCATCCTTACTTGGTCTTTATTCCCTTCAGGCGTACTAAGCGCTTTTCATCATCTTTTATTATGCGCATAGCCCAGGAATGGAATAGCCTGTCTGCGACTGTGTTACCGAATTCATATCCCGAGTACCTTTAAGGTCTGAATAGGCATCTTCTGTTCGAGCTCGTTCCATCGTAGATCCTATCTTTGCTCTAGAGCTGGGTAGTGGTCAAGAGCAAATCCATATAATAATAAAAAAGGTCCCGCATTAGGCTACGATGGCTTCAAAGTTTAACATGTGACATTCTAATCAAGCAGCAAGCGGAGAATGAATTACGTCAGTCACTGCCGTGAACTAAGGCACTCAGAAAACTCCATCTTTACTAGTAAAAATATGTGCTAGTCTGAACTCACCTGGGTCCCCAATATATTCACCATCGCCGTCATCGTCGTCATTCTCTTGTTTTATCGAACCATTAACTTGAAAAATAAAGAGACCACACAGAATCAATATAAAGTTAAACAAGTTCATTTTGCTAACCCTCTTTGTGAAATGATTTGTATAAAGGTTGATTCATGTAATATATTACCTAGGAATCAAGCGTGAACATTGTGCATGTTGCATTATATACTGTTCATGTTACAATGCAATTATAACTGCTTAATACAGAACTTCCGAATTATGTGCATTAACCAAATTATGTTAACAGTTTAATACAATTACAAGGTTAGTTGTAAATAAGACCCTAAATAAATACGATCTACATGAAATCAAATATGTGTATGTGAATTTTACCAAAATACCATACGTTCTGCACTGAGCCGTTCTGCCATAGGTCAATAACTCACTACTACAGATCGTAACTCTGCAAAGGATCAAAAAATCCCCTCTTATATCTAAATGGCGTTGATCAATAGCCTGGGGGCCTGCCACAACCTTTTAAAATAATATTACTTTAACCTTACTTTGATTTTTCGTACCATGACGAGCTTAAAGTAAACTTATTGTAATGATTGTTAAAACTATGATGTTTTATTGGCAGCTTTATGACTATTCATTCACACAGTTCGAACTATGACTCGACTTTAACATTAAAGTAGTATTGTTCTTATGTCAAATTTAAAATCTTAAAATAGTTACTCGGACGCAGTGGAAACAATGTTATTATCGAATTTATTGTCTAAATTTTGATTTGTAATGATTAAAAGTTAAGTTGAACTTATTTATTTACGTAAATCTCTTCAATATTTTGTTTATATTTTTATTTGGTATTTTATTCCTATATACATAGGAAATATTTTCTCATTAAATAAAAATACGCGATGTTTATTTCGTAAAATTATGACAGCGACATCTATAGGCTCCTTGGCGACACTAACAGTTGACACTAGACCAAAATTCCGAATTCACAACGTGACTATCAAGACTCAGCTTGTTTTATTTATTTTACATCATAAAATGCGGAAAAATAATTGAAAATAACGTAATTTTAATAGATTTTATTATTACATATTTTTCTTTTTTAACAGTTAAAAAAAATCTGTGAATGTAAATAACATGAAATACTTAAACATTATACTACGATAAGACGATTCGGAACATCAAAAAATGAAAGAGATGGCAATATTTAGTTCACATAGCGTTATTTCTTTTCTATTTTTAGTAAGGAATAGACAATATTGGGAAATCATTCGTTCTTTGAATCACTTTAGCAATAATACATTGCTTGGTTGACAGGTTTGTCATGGTACGACTATGAGTAATATTATAATGATTTACTTTAAGCTTGCATTGTAATAAGATTGTTTTTGGAAAGGTTGTGGTTGGCCCCCTGGAAGTATATATAGAATAACGAATGAATGCGGCACTGAGGCGCGCGCCGTGAGTTTCCACCATACTACGTCGTATCGAGTGTCGTGGCGCATTGCGATATTGTGTCGTGAATTTTTACGTTCCTCGTCATAGATTTCCACTATACGACGTCGCATCGTCAAACGATGCCGCACGTAGCACGACGCGAAGTCGTATCGTGTTTATTTGTAAGAGTCCTATTTGGTACTCGTCGAGACACCTGTTGTACTAATTGGTACTAAATACCCGACCATGCTGTCTTATATGGCGATTAGCAGTCTTCTTGAGTCATTGGTGCATGGTTCTGCTTAATCCTTTGTACTCCCTAACATTGACGTTTTTATTGATGAAAAAAGTTCTTCCCATACACGCCTGTGAAGTGTCTAACGAATGAAAAAGATTTAATCCATAAGGCGCAACTTTTATAAAAGGAGCACTCCCAAAGA